AATCGTACGATGCCTGACTCGTGAGACACGCATATGGTTACCGGTCCTTTCATCGCGGCCTAAATGGTCGTGGACAATTCGTAGTGGACGAAACGTCGCAAGCACATTTCGTCGTTGCACTGTTTAGACGCAGACACAGATCATCGCACTTCTATGTCAAGAGATCATTTCGGGGGGGGGGGGGCACCAGTATCGCATTTTAGAACCCTTCCAGATGTGAGTTCTAAAATGCACCTGTCATCATACACTGTGAGACGCTCTTTTGTGCATGCCACACCCGATTACCGTTAGAACTCGATAGCCACATGGTAATGATATCATCGAGTCACTTTATATCTGTACAGAGAGGAGTTACCCTTCCAAGTGCTGTTTTCAAACTCTTTAGGGTAACGTTCCTCAACGAAGGATTCGCAGACCCGTAGGGGTCCGTGGCAAGACTTCATGTGGTCCACGAAAACATGACGAGGCCAAAAATAAATAACGGAGAAAATAGAAAAATTAAAGAATAGGAAGGAGCGCGTCTTCAATCAACTCTTTAAAAAGTTCCTCAAAATCGCATTCACTAATATTATGAACTTAAAATAAAAAGGATAGTGAAAGGTGTCCTCTCAGGCACCCAGAAATTCGAAAGAGGTCCATAGATTTGAAAAGTGAGGAGAATCGCTGCTGTAGAAATGTTGATTAGTTCAGGTGTCCTGTACATGAAGACTCAAGTTTTCACATGAATGGCACAGCTGAAACAAACTCCGAAAACGACAGATTCGTATTCCTTTCCCCCCCCCTCAACTCATAGGAATCAGGAACTCCGGTGCCTTCTTGATGGGAATTTTCTTCGGTTGCTTTCTACCATTTTCTCCAAGCTAGTGCCATGCCGTGAATGTGCGACAATCTGTGTCAGCAAGAAAGTAGTGCAAGAACGAAATGGGCTAGCGACATTTCGTCTGCAATGAAATGTCTACGATCATTTAGATCGCAACGAAAGCGTCTGTCACGCATGCATACGTCATCTCATGGATCCATGAAGTAAATTTAGCTCGCGGTGACACATTCTACTTTACGGTTTGGGATATAGAAATGGATCGGGGGCTATGGTGAACTATGTACAGTACACTCCCCTTCTATGGTGTAATGTCATTTGACATTATTCCTATTTCAAAAATATGCCTGAATTTCTGAAAGAGGGATTGCGATGATATGAATGTATAACTAAATTTTGATAAATAAATTAGACTGGATAGACTGTGACTCATAACAAAGTTGCATACAGGACTTCACGGAGCGAAGTCTTTACACTTAGGAGGTGTGCATCTTCTGTAAGAAGAAGTGATTTTTGCTTTTTACATTTTTGTTGAACTACATATATTATAGGATCCAAGAGAGTTGAAAGAAATGGTTGAAGCACCGGATGAGACGAGCATATGGTTGAAGAATGCGAAGAAATTCATTGAATGGACATTTCCGAATTGGAAAACCGAAAATCGAGTTGTCCCATCACTCAGCGATGCAATTCAGCCATCTCTCGTTTCTTTTATATATGATTTGGGTAGAAAAATGGATCAATCCATGTTCATCGTCTACAGTCGGAACATGAATCGACTGGTGAAGACTCGTTTTTCTGGCGGACTATATGAAAAATTGGACAATATACAGGAAGCCGATCATGACATAGTCATCATTGATCAGCGTAGAGGTTTGTTCTGCATCAAAGTCTGCTACATCAATGAGAAGCAACCGGACCCAACTGGCGAACCGAGACTGCATCTCATTCAGCAGAAGTGTGACAGTGCGAAGAGAGACTTTGATCATCTGAAGGTACTGGTGAAAGAGGCAGGGATCCAGAAGAACCAATTAAAAAAGTGTTTTCCCTTGTCTTTCCCTATTGTCGCATTCCCCAGGGTTCATAAGAAAGAAACACCACCCCAAAATGATCTGGTCCTTTGTGAAACTGAGTGCCGCTCCCGAACAGAGTTCGAAACTTGGTGGAAGAAACACATCATAACGTTCGAATCGAAGAATATCGCCCTTTATCCAGAAACTCACCTGACCCTCTTGGCAATGTAAGACCTCTTCGTATATTGTTATAATATATAATTAGCAATTCAATAGGTTAATACGGATTTATTTCATTTTTTTTCTAGGAAATATAATGGCTTATTTTGGGGTTAAATGTGCTTCACAGCACTAAAAAAGTATTGAGACAGGTCGATGGACGTTACAATAGACGAAACTGTTATGAATAAGGGCACCTCTTCAGCAATTGGTGAATGCATGACAACAATGTAAGAGAATAACTGAAGCAAAGGTCGAGAGCTTCACGTCAGAGAGCTACTACTTAAAATAGTGTTAGACACTTTCACATAAAACTATATTGTAACTATATTTTTTATCTTCTTTGATTCGTAACCTCTGTTCCCTTCCTCACCGCAGGCGAACTTGTCCAGGGAAGCCCCATTGAAAAATGATACTCTTTAGGAACGATGTTGCACCTTCCTTATTAGTGAGTTTGTTTGCCCTTCGGGGAGACAAACTCGCCTCCGGCGCACCATTCTCCAGAATAGTAATTCCTTAATTAATTTCCTAAAAGGGCAAAGGGGCAAAAACGTGTTAAAAGTACGGGCCTGTCGAAATTAGTGCCATGAAAGGAGGAACCGATATTTTCATCGAAATAATTACTCCGATTATGTATAGTGCACCTACCTTAAATCCCTTTATAATATGGCCTGAGGGGACAAATGTGAAAAGAATGATATGCAATCATCAATCAAACAGGTACTTCTGCCGCTATTTTCAATTGCCTTCAGTTCTCCCTTTCATTGGATTAAAAGATATTCAGGAAATCGCGCCATTTGCCAAAAAAAATTGCCAGCACGTGTTTTATCTGAAAAATAATAATTTCACTGAAATTAGTACTTCAAGAACTACATGCATTCCAAGTTTAAGTCTTATCCGTTTGCGCTTTTTGATGGTGCAAAAATATATTAGGAAAAGTCGACCTAGACAAAAGCTTTGCCCTGAGGGGAAGCTCCACAAAAGTGAAGTTTCTTTCTGAACTCATCGTCGCCCCAGTTACGAATGTGCCATGTCTCAACTTTTTATTTCTGCTCAATTCGATGAGAAAAATAAGTCTTTGAAAACGCCACTCCCCAAAAAATATGCGCCCAGGGAATTTAGCGAATGCTGACATTCATCATGATCCCCTTGACATTCATGGAAAGTTTCAGCTTCCGATGTTCGGTGAACAAATATTTGAATATAAATCCCTCGGGAATTTGTGCCCCCCATGCCATTTACACCCAAAGTCTCATTCGTATTTAGTCGTATTTAGCTTTTTTTATGAGCATGGCGCTTACAAAACGAGAAGGAAAAGATAAAGCCTGGACGATTCCCTGGTCAATTCCCAGGCAACGATGGCTCCTAAATACCGAATGGCGGATTCCGAGAGGATTTGAATTGAAAATACTGTACGGTTTTCTTTAGGCGAATTTCTAAAATTCATAACAATTTTACACAATCCCTGGTCAATTCCCAGGCAACGATGGCTCCTAAATACCGAATGGCGGATTCCGAGAGGATTTGAATTGAAAATACTGTACGGTTTTCTTTAGGCGAATTTCTAAAATTCATAACAATTTTACACATTGGTGAATAAAAATCAGTTGACAAAATTTCTAGTGCTACTATTCCACTATGGAGTTCCAAAACTTTCATTTGAACCATAAATATACAGAATAATTAGTATATGTGGCAAAATCTGGGTATCTCGACATTGGCATTTCGCACAATTCACGTGAGGTTGGAATAGTAAAACCATATTTCACTCGGCGCATAGATCGGTTTTACTTTCGTCAGCTTACGTTCCACAGAATTATGATTGATATGACTTTAATTTGGCGCTAGAAGAGCTCAACTGTATAATGCCACAGATTATGAAATGAAATTTGATTTTCTTTCTGAAGATTCGGGGCACCCCTGTTTGCTACTCCAGTCTTGGATAAGGAGGAAACAGACTTCCCTTTTCTCACAGTACGGGAATTGGATATTCTAGTCAACAAACCTACTCTCAGCATGATCGAAGGAGGTTCAGAAATTGAGGAGATGAAGTTGATCAAGGAGAAATCTAGGAACATCTTAACGAAATGGTTCTCCCGCAGACAAACAATAGAGTCCGAGCGTATCGTCATCATTGGTCACAACGGAAATATCATAGAAAAGCTGAAGAACACAATGCCTGAATGGATCGTCAAATCTGCACTAGATACTTACTCAACATGGACAAACAAGTGTCTGGAAGAAAGAATAGAAAGGGTTCGTGACGTGGTTCAAAAGAGCCTCGCATTTTGCACGATATCCTCTGAGCAATGTATCACACATGACACTATTATAAACCAGGAGGAGAACTCTAGTGTTGAATCTGTGCCTAATGACGACTTCCCAAACGCTAATGAACCTAAAAATGAAGATAAATTTCCTCTACCCGAAATTAGTCGCAATGAAAAAAGCATTGAAAGCACTGTACTAGAAAAATATTCGCCCCATGAAGAAGTGCTTCAAATGAAGGAACTTTTGAAAAGTCTCATGGAAATTTTGAAGCCAAGCTTCATCAGCGCTATTATTCCGGTTCATTCCGAATGTGAAACGGTAAATGAGGGAAAGGGTTCATATGAGAAAGAATCCTGCCATGTGGAACAATTCTTAGGACTGAACGAAGAAATGAAGAAGCTGTCAATGGTAATAAGTAAAATATTCCATGCTGACAAAGCAAATAAGAATGCACACAACGTTGATGATGAGGTGATTCGGAGTGATGACGAGGATGCGTTTGATCGCCGATATAATTTTCCTAATGAAGAGGCGGAAATTGTTTTAGAAACTTCGATGAAAATGATTCAGCGTCTCATCAGCGGATTCTCTTTGAGCGACAAAGTGGGTTACATAGGTAAAAATACAAATGAGAACTCGGATGGATCCGAAAAAGTACCTTTGAAAGAACTATCACATTTACAAGAGTTCCTAGAACTAAATGGAGAAATGCAGAAGCTCGTTCCGGTTATTTCGGAAACCTTTCAGGATGACCAAGGAGACAACAGTGCAAAAGAGAACATAAATATGATGCACCATTCCGCCCAAATTAAATCTGTCTCCTACGATCAGCATTCAGATCCAGATAACATTATGCAAAACAAAGTTTCTACGAAGGAGGTAATAAAGTGGCAAATGCGCCAATTGAGAGAAACCCAAGAGGATAACCAGAAATTCCACCACGTTTTTGTACTTGGGGTTCAGGATCTCTTTCAACATTACACTGATCTCTGCTTTCAAGACCTGTTCAGTCTTCACCTGGGTCGTGCTCAAGGATATTTTTGGACTTTTGGCCGGGAAAGTGAACTTCCAGTAAGGTTCCCAGAACTCTATCCCGCAAATAAAGTTCTTCCACTCTTTAAACTTTAACGATCAAATTGTGAACGACCATTCGATCGATCAAGCTTGATTGTTTTCCCATTCCCAATACCCACTGGGAAGCATTCCCAACACGCACGTTTAACCAATTGCTATACGTCTATCGAGTTTGCAGCCCTCTTTCCTGGATTGTATCGTGTCTTGCCAACCATTGTGGAAATTTAACTCGTCTTCATTTGGTTATGATAGATGTTGGAAAGTTATTGCATGGTGGTGAAAAGGGGTTGGAGGTTGTTGAAACGATGCTGGCAGGGGTGTGCTAAAGTTGTGAAAGTGACGCAATTGAAAATAATCACAGTTACACACTTCTCCGTCTCGGTAAATCGACTTTTAGGACAGCCTGCATTATGCTTGGGCGTATGTATGTCCGCAGTGTCACGTGGCGCCTTTTTCTGCCCGGCTCCGGGTGTCTGTCTCGTTCTCTCGACCTCGCATTTTCCCTCCGGCCATTCCGGATGTCGGAATCCATTCTCGAGAAGGAAATAGCCCGGGGAGGGTTCATATGTCATGACGAAAGAAAAACTATGGAACGGCCGGGAAACTGATTCCGGGGCCTCCGGATAGGCGGAGAAGTATTTTTTCCACTACACCACAGACCAGGGGTCCGATACGGACTTTTCAGTGGGGACGTGCAAACGTCCCGGCGTATAGCACTTGGAGTCCCCTTTCATCCCTTAAGGAAGGATGACTTCCTCCCCGGGATGAGATCTCATCATCATATATCAATATTTCATCATCAGACCATGGGTGACATGCACCGAATCCGTTTAAGCTTAACTTAATCTGATCACACAATGGTCCCCTATGGGAATCAGTTTACATACATACATACATTTTCTTGGCCGCTTTTCCCAATTTAATGGGGTCGCAGTTCGAGCATCCCAAGGAGCGTCCTCCAATGATCTCGATCCTGGGCAAAAGATTAAAGCTCAGCTAGTTGGATGCCGAGCCTCTCGTGACAAAGTCGAGCGACGTAATAACTCCACCTTGTACGAGGTCTACCGACAGGTCTTTTGCCGGTCATCTTGGCCTGGAAGAGTCTTCTTGGGAGCCTCTTAGTGGGCATTTGGCAGACGTGTCCAAACCACCTGGCCTGAGACCCCTCGATCCGGAGAAGCAGCTGCTCGACGTGGAGACTCTCGCGGTTGGCAGAGTTCCCCATTCGATCACGGCGCGTTACGAGAGCACTCGACGCAAGAATCTCATTTCGGCAGTTTGTGTCCGCAATCTGGTGCTTTCGGTCATTACGCAAAGTACGTGACCATAGGTGAGGGTGGGGAGATAGACACTCTTAAATACCGAGAGTTTTGCTTCCCGAGAAACTTCCGATCTGGTAACCACGGTTCGCCAAAGTTTCTGCAGAATTGCAGAACCCTTGGAGATGCGGTTGTCGATCTCGTTTCCGTGTCGCCCATCACTCGAGAACCAGACTCTGAGGTACTTGAACTTCTTCACCAGTTCCAGTGGGACCCTACTGACATGTAGGGTGCACTGAACAGGATTTCTCGAGAGGACCATGACCTATGTATGGAGACTCTCAGTTTCATTTCCGCCGCAGTGCATTCGGAGTCGAACCGATCGAGCATGCTCTAGAGCTCCTGTCGAGAGCGGGTCAAAATAACGGCATCGTCGGCAAAGAGAAGTATCCTTACCGCTACGTCACCGATGTTGACCCCCTCCAAGCCAAGGCTGCGCCTACAGATCCTGTCTATGTACACGAGGAACAGGAAAGGTGAGAGGACACAACCCTGCCGGAGTCCAACGCGTACCAGAAAACAATCCGAACTCCTCCTGCTCACTCGGATGCAGCTTCTGCAATCGTTGTATAGGGACTGAACGGCTCGCAATAGCTGACCCTTGATCCTATACTCCTCCTGCAGCACTCCCCACAGTTTTCCTACACGTTCGTAAGCTTTTTCAAGGTCAAGCACTTGTCATACTCCCAATGTCTCTTGAGGATCTGGTGGAGAGTGAATAGCTGGTCCGTGGTGCTGCGCCCTTCATGAAAGGCCCTTCATGTACTGCTCCTCTTGGATGGCTTCACCTACGACTGCCCGAGCTCTCTTTTCCAGCACCTTGGAATAGACGTTACCAGGTATGCTGAGGAGAGTGATCCCACGATAGTTCATGCACTCCCGCGAGTCTCCCTTCTTAAAAAGAGGAACCACCACACCGATTTGCCAATCTCTAGGTGCTGTTCCCGATTACCAAGCAGCCTGCACATCCATACAGCCACGAGTATCCATCTGTACCCACTGCTTCAGTGTCCCGGATTTCATTCACACCAGGAGACTTCCCATTCTTCAGGCTAGCAATGGCGTGCAGAACTTTCTCCATGGCGAAACTAATCTCCGCGCTGAGGCTCCAGGTCGGGTAAGTTAATATCCACTGTTGGTGGGTTTATGACCTCTTCAAATTGTTATTTCCACATCCCAAATATATCTGCCTCGGCAGCCAACACCTCCCCGTTTCTGTCTTTGATGACCCGGAGCGTATGTTGCCTGGCTTGCCGTAACCTTCGGATGGTTTGCCAGAACTCATTGATGGCAGTGCGGTAGTGTGATTGCATTTGATCGCCGAATTTCCTTCACGCCTCCTGTTTCGCTTTGGCCACAACACGAGCAGTAGTTCGTCGCGTTTCGGTATAGCACGCCCTAGAAGAATCAGACCTACTGGACATGTACGACCGATAGGCTACCTTCTTGGCATTAACAGCCTCGCGCACAGCTGGTGTCCACAAGGGACATGGTGTTACCGTGAACCACTCCGATGCACTTCTTCCCACACACTCTTGCTGCAGCCGCCTAAACACCAGACCGAAATATAGGCCATTCGGTTTCTACATCTGACGTCTGGGGAGGTATTTGAGAGTACTTCTCGCCAATCTCCCTCCCCTCCCTCGTCGTCACGAGTTCCCTCATTGCGAAGGGCTTCCCACTTCACTCGTCTTTCAACGCGTGCGGTTCTCTGCCTCATTCTGAGATTCGCTCGTATCCGAAGTTTTCTGACCACTAGATGGTCGGTGCTCCGTTCTACTCCATGCCACACCCTCGTATCCATCACAAAGCCCCACAAGTCCGCCGAAACGATCACGTAATCGATCAGCAATTGCTAACACACAGTACCAGCCCGACTATCAGACCCCCTGTGCCAGGTAAACTTGTGGATATCTTTGTGTTGGAAGGTGTTGGTGATGGTCAGACCATTGCCAGCACAGAAGTCCAGCAACTTTCTGCCACTCCCGTTCAGGGTGGCTTCCCCAAATCGACCGATCACACCACTCCATGTAGCATCGTCTCTCCCAACTCGTATATGGAAATCCCCCATCAGCACAACGCGGTCGCCGTTTGGAATCCTTTCTAAGGTTCCCTCCACCTCCTCCAAAAACGCATCGTAATCAGGCTCGCTGTTCGACCCGTAGACCTGAACGACGGCCAAGACTCCGACTTGCTCCAGTCAGAGGCGGATCAGGGCGACACGCTCACTGACTGGGTTCCATTCGATGACGCTTCCTGCCAGTTGGGGTCTAATGAGTATCCCTACTCCAGCCTGAGCAAACACGGTCGAGTCGATTCCGCTCCAGTAGAGGGTCCATCCGTGGTCTAGGGTAATAGAACCGGTGCCTTTCCTCTTGGTTGAGGCTTGAGGTTGAGGTTGACTCTGATATATCCAGTCCTCTCCC